AACACATTAAGTTTTTGTCAGATTATTCCCAAAACTCTCAAAGAAAGGGACTTTTATTCTTTTCCATTCACCATTCACCACCGCCTTAACAAGTCCTTCTGATCAGTAGCTATTTCATTAGTGTTTGCTGCCATTACTTCAAGGATGTTGTGAATAATTTTGTCATTTAAGTTAGCTAGAGTACAAAGATGTAGTTTAGGGATGAATTTTATTGGTTTAGTCTTTCTTTTCTGTGAATATCCCTTTAACTACCTGTGCATGCTAAATATTTTAATTCCGTGTGGTGATTATCGTAAGTCCCGTTGTTCAGTTTGCTTGAGGACAAGCAAAGACTTGAGTGTGGGGGAATCTGATAAGTCCATATTTAGACACGCATTTGATGCGTGTTGGGATCGACTTGTGATGGTTTTCCTAGCTTTAAGGTGTTACAATTATCAATTTTAGCTCAAGTTATGTTTACCAGGCGTTGGTTCGAGTTTTATGTCTTTTGGAGTCAAAATCATGGAATTTGAGCCCGACACCGGCGCTTGAGGAGAAAAAGGGATGATTCGAGAAATATTCGAGAGTGAATTGAGAGCTTTGGAGGTCTCTGGGAGGTTTACGATGAAGATTTGAAGACAAAATAGCTCTAGAATCGGTTATGAGATCAAAAGAAGACAAATAAATTTGCAAACGGTGTTCAGCATGACCTTATGTCAATAATTCAAGCATATATCTTTGTAGAAGCATCCAAAGGACACGATTCAAGTTGCATCTGAAATACAAATTCAAGAGCTACAAATCATATGAAGACCGAATTGAGAGAATATGAGAGGAAGAAGGTGAAAACAGACGATGAAGTCAGATGATCCCTGTTGCGATTTCAGAATGAGACATTCCATCATTGTATTCACATCTATTGATTGGATGATTCAAATACAATTCGGCAAGTTGTGGTGGATAGAGGAGTTCATAATCTACAACTTTAATGAAGGAAACAAATTCAAATTCGGAAGTTTTACGCACGCCGTGCGTAGGGGAACGCACGGTCGTGCGTGGCTGGTAGTGGGTTTTCCAGTTTCTCGCCTCACATGCACGATTGTGCGTTCCCCTACGCACGGCGTGCGTAAAACTTCCGAATTTGAATTTGTTTCCTTCATAAAACCCTATTTCGAATTGGGCTAATCAAACCCTCCAAGAGGCCCTAGCCCAATACCATTCAAAACACTATTTCGAATTGGGCTAATCAGGCTATTTTAATGTTATTAACGAACATTAATGATCCAAATTACTTAGGTGTGTGACCCTGTAGGTTTATATATTATTGCCAGTGGGCTAAAAAATTAATTCAAGCCTCACAAATCATAAGCGGCCTCTAGCAAGGCATCATGACTATCCAAAATATATAAATGTCAATTAAATCTGACATAACCTTTTAATGATTAATTTGTGCTAATAATTCTCTTTTGTCAAACGATATCTTAATTGAGACAAGGTTAAGTCATGTCATCCTTGTTATTCTCAATTAATATTTCTTGATTACCAAGTAAGATTAATTTTGAACAAATGACACCTCATTTGAGCATGGCCATGCTAATTAATCTTACTTGTCAAGGGGCCCAATAGATATCTTTCTCTCGCTATACGAGAGTGACAAAAACTATCTTGATAATTCACATACCACTACATGGTTCATAATATGTACAATCACCACCTTTATAATTACCCATTTAAAAATAATATTTAATGGTGTTAATACATATTAATTCGCATGCAAGTAACCATGATTATCTCAAGTATAAGAATATAGAACCTCATCATTATTGAGGACAACACTGATGACATATAACCTAGCAGTGTCCTCAAGTTGGGTCTGTCCAATGAACTTGTTCACTAACAAGCATCTATGTTATTAACTTGATATCTCTATACCCATGACTAGTAGAATATAGCCATCAGTTAATCCACATAATGGTCTATTAATTATTAATGTCCCAGATTAATAATATTAGACCATGGACAATTAGAATATTATGCTTATTTTAAAGTGTAGCATTCCAAAATTAAGTCACGTACTTAATTAGCTACTAAACATAACATTCAGGGACTAAATATTAATAAAGAAAACTCACAATAATAATTAACATAAAATGAGTTTGTGACTTTATTAATTAATGAGCATTAAATATTCATTGATAAATCATAAAGTATGATTGTCCTAGGGCATACTTCCAACAGTCTCCCACTTGCACTAGGACCAATCGTGAACAAAACGAATGCCTAATGCACAAGTATGACGTTCATGCTTTGCTTGTGGTAGTGGCTTGGTGAGCGGGTCAGCCACATTTGCATCTGTTGGTACTTTGCATATCTTGACGTCACCTCTATTGACTATCTCTCGAATGAGATGATATCGCCTGAGTACATGCTTTGATTTCTGATGTGATCTAGGTTCCTTGGCTTGTGCAATGGCTCCATTATTATCACAATATAAGTCCATTGGTCCAACAATACTAGGAACGACCCTGAGCTCAATAATGAATTTCCTTATCCATACTGCTTCTTTTGCTGCTTCTGAAGCAGCAATGTACTCAGCTTCTGTTGTAGAATCAACCACCGTGTCTTGTTTAGAACTCTTCCAGCTCACTGCTCTGCCATTGAGGCAAAACACAAATCCTGACTGCGATCTAAAATCATCCTTATCGGATTGGAACCCAGTATCTGTTTAACCATTTACAATGAGCTGATCTTCACCGCCATAGACCAAGAATACATCCTTAGTTCTTCTCAAGTACTTTAGAATATTCTTGACCGCTATCCAGTGACTATCACCTGGATCTGACTGGTATCTACTAGTCATGCTTAGAGCGCAAGCTACATCAGGGCGAGTACATAACATAGCATACATGATAGAACCTATAGCAGAAGCATAAGGGACTCTATTCATTCGATCTCGCTCATCTTGTGTTTGTGGACACTGAGTCTTGCTGAGATGTGTGCCATGTGACATAGGCAAGAACCCTCTCTTGGAATCTTGCATATTGAACCTATGTAGGACCTTGTCAATGTAGTTACTTTGACTTAGTCCTATTAGCTTTCTAGATATATCTCTATAGATCTTGATCCCTAACACATAGGATGCATCACCCAAGTCTTTCATTGAGAAACACTTTCCAAGCCAAGCCTTTACAGACGAAAGCATCGGAACATCATTCCCAATGATAAGTATGTCATCTACATATAGGACTAGGAAAGTGATTGCACTTCCACTCAATTTCTTGTAAACACAAGGTTCCTCTTCGTTTTGATTGAAACCAAACTCTTTGATTGCAGCATCAAAACGAAGATTCCAACTCCGAGATGCTTGCTTCAGACCATATATTGATCTTTTGAGCTTGCATACATTCCCAACATTGATTGGATGTTCAAAACCCTCAGGTTGTATCATATACACGTCCTCATCTAGATTTCCATTTGGGAAAGCAGTTTTGACATCCATTTGCCAAATCTCATAATCAAAATGAGCGGCAATTGCTAAGAGAATCCGAATTGATTTAAGCATGGCAACTGGCGAGAATGTTTCATCATAGTCTATACCATGAATTTGTTTGTAACCTTTTGCCACTAAACGTGCTTTATAGACATCTACATTTCCAGCTTTGTTTAATTTCTTTTTGTAGATCCATTTGCACCCAATGGTTCTATAACCACCAGGTAGATCAACTAAGTCCCAGACTTGATTGTCGACCATGGATCTCATTTCGGATTTCATGGCTTCTAGCCATTTATCGGAGTGAGGGCTCGATATTGCTTCTTGGTAAGTCAAAGGTTCATCTTCTTCTATTAATAATACGTCACGATGCTCAGTTAAGATAAACATGTATCTAACAGGCTCGTTACGTACCCTAGATGACCTCCTTGGAGCGAGTGCTACCTCAGGTGTATCCACAACAACTTGTGGCTGAGATTGTGGGACTGCTTGCATAGTCTGACTATCTAGAACTTCTTGAATTTATTCAAGCTGTATTTTACTCCCACTGGTTCTTTCAGAAAGAAATTTTCTTTCTAAGAAAATACCATTACGAGCAACAAACACTTTTTTCTCTGATGGGTTGTAAAAGTAATATCCTTTTGTTTCCTTAGGATAACCCACAAATAAACACTTATGTGATTTGGGTTCAAGCTTATTTGAAAGTAAACGTTTTACATAAACTTGACACCCCCAAATCTTCACAAAGGTTAGACTAGGAACTTTTCCTGTCCATATCTCATATGGTGTCCTTTCTGTAGCCTTTGTTGGAGCCCTATTGAGTATGAATGCAGCGGTTTCAAGAGCATAACCCCAGAAAGAGATTGGTAGTTCAGCGAGACTCATCATGGAACGAACCATGTCAAACAAGGTCCGATTTCTCCGTTCGGATACACCATTCCATTGTGGTGTACCTGGCGGAGTGAGTTGTGAAACAATTCCACAACCTCTTAGATGATCACTAAATTCCTGACTCAAATATTCACCACTTCGATCTGATCGAATGGCCTTTATTGTTTTGCCAAGTTGATTCTGAACTTCATTCTGGAATTCTTTGAACTTTTCAAAAGCTTCATGTTTATGCTTCATTAGGTACACATAACCAAACCTACTGAAGTCATCAGTGAATGTTATGAAGTACTGAAAACCTCCCATGGCCATTGTTGACATTGGGCCACATACATCCGAGTGTATGAGGTCCAATAAACCGTGAGCTCTTTCACCTTTACCAGTAAATGGTGATTTGTCCATTTTACCTAATAAACAAGATTCACACTCCTCGATTGATTCAAAATCAAAAGAGTCAAGAAATCCACTAGAATGGAGTCTTTTAATGCGCTTCTCATTTATATGGCCTAGTCTACAATGCCAAAGGTATGTTGGGTTTGAGTCGTTAGATTTAAACCTTTTTGTATTTATGTGATAGATGGGCATTTCAAGGTCTAGAACATAAAGTCCATTTATAAGACTAGCACTACCATAAAAGATCTCATTAAAATAAATAGAACAAGTGTTGTCCTTTATTATAAAATGAAATCCTTTCTTGTTCAAACAAGAAACAGAAATTATATTCCTACTAATGGCATGTACATGATAACAATTATCAAGTTCTAAAACTAAGCCCGTGGGCAAACTTAAAGTAAATGTTCCTATTGCTAATGCTGCAACTTTTGCACCGTTGCCTACTCGTAGGTCAACTTCACCTTTAGCCATCCTTCTACTCCTTGTCAGTCCCTGCAAATTTGAACAAATGTGAGAACCACAACCGGTATCTAATACCCATGAAGTAGTAGTAGTAACATTTACTTCTATCACATAGATACCTGAATTGGAAGCATCACCATGCCCCTTTCTTTTCAGTTCTTCCAAATACGCCTTGCAATTCCGCTTCCAATGATCGGTTTTGTTGCAGTGGAAACATTTTTGCTCTTCTTTAGAAGTAGAGCTGGCAATAGATTTGCCTTTACCCGAGTTCTTAACCAGAGTTTTGGCTTTCTTGTTTCCACCAACCTTGCCTTTTCCAGGCTTCTTGAATCCCTTTCCCTTTTTGATCATCAAAACGTCACTCCGGTTTTTCTTGATGTTTTGCTCAGTGGAGTTGAGCATTCCATGCAATTCAGTTAAGGTCTTCTCAAGACCATGCATATTATAGTTCAGGATGAACTGGTCATATGCCGGGGTGAGTGATGCGAGAATCACATCAGTAGACAACTCTTGACTAATTGGAGATCCAAGTCTTTCCAAGTGGTCCCTATACCCAATCATCTTGAGTACGTGAGGTCCAACTGGGCTCCCATCAGTAAGCCTTGTGTGAAACAAAGCCTTGGTTGTCTCGAACCTTTCGATCCGTGCTTGTTTCTGAAACAAGTTCTCGAGTTCATTAGAGATGTCATGTGCACGACGATTCGGAAACTGTTTCTGAAGATTAGCTTCCATGATGGTTAACATCAGACAAGTGACATCAACTTCATCACGGACATGCCTTTCATAAGCATCTCTAGTGGCTCTAGGAGCATTGGCCGCTGGTTCAGCAGGAATTGGTTGGTCAAGGACATATTCTTTACGCTCTTGCCTGAGAACAATTCTCAGATTCCTATCACAGTCCATGTAATTTGTTCCATTAAGTTTTTCCTTCTCAAGGATTGATCGCAGTGAAAAAGTTGTGTTGGTGGCCATATTAACTACAACAAATAATGCAAAGAATTTTAAATAATGCTCAAAATAACTCCCACTATATTAAATAGAAAGTCCCAAATATAGTGGTCCAAGATCCATATTTCACTAAAATTTAAGTAAGCTTTGGCTTATCACTTAAACATTAGTTATTTAGGTAAACAACTCTTGTTAATCATATCCTATATGACTCTTGGTTTGTTTGGTCACCATCATATGATTATCCAAACATTCCTTGCTTCAAGGCCCAAAACCATTTTGATGGTCTTGTAAGTCCAAACCAATATTAAGACCAGAGAATGATGATCATTCAAAACATCTTCCTAAGATAGTGTGAAATGCTCTGCTTTGGCAGACACATAACACGACTAGCATAGTATAAATGGTGGTCATATTGGGAAAGCAATTTAGACTTATAATTAATAGGGACTAATTATTAAACACATGCAGCAATCATAGATTTAAATAAATAATTTAAAACTAGTGTAGTGATATAGCATGACCCCTAATACTTCATATCTCCTTGGCATCTTCAACCTGTGCAGTGGACTACTAAATATCTACGGGGTTGAAAACATTACAGGGGATATTCGGAATAACGACACCCTGGCCGTAAAACAACATAATATAAAACATACATTCGGATCATGCTATACCACCAATTCAATCTGTCCTGTGACGAAACAAAATAATTGCGCATGCACGGATTGAAAATTAAATTTTAAAATCCGCATGTAATATGTAATTAATTTGGATCTCATCCGAAAAATAAACATACATATTAATGAATTCTAAAATAATTCGTATTATATATACACATGTACATATCATATCCGTAATATAGATCAGTACACATATAAATACGAATAAAATATAATGAACTTATATTCGAATTTGGCAGAACACTTGATCAAATCATTCGAATTATAATATGGGAGATTTGTCACGAATTTGCCTTGATTTGTGTAGAGCTCGTCTTCCCGTTTCCGAAAAGTACTTATGGGTCGGAAACGGATTAACGAGTCAAAAGTTACGGCCAAAACAAGATTGTCCGATCCACAAAAACAGCTCATTAGCCGGCGGTTGCCAAAATAATTCGGATCTCATCCGAAAAATTAGAAACCAAATCTCCTAAAACTAAAATAATATTCTGAACCAGATCTGAAAAAAAACTGAATTTTTTGATATCCACTCAGATCTGTTCCGAATAATTAGGCAGTAGGATTTTATCCAATTCCTAATTCCATTCAGATCTGATCCGAAAAATAATAAATAATATCATAAAATATTCTTAACATAAATTATGAGTATCAATTCGGATCCAATTCAAACTATTGAACTTTCATGTCCATTCAGATCTCTTCCGAATAATTAGGTTGTAGGATTTTATCCAATTCCTAATTCCATTCAGATCTGATCCGAAAAATAATAAATAATATCATAAAATATTCTTAACATAAATTATGAGTATCAATTCGGATCCAATTCAAACTATTGAACTTTCATGTCCATTCAGATCTCTTCTGAATAATTAGGCTGTAGGATTTTATCCAATTCGTAATTCCATTCAAATCTGATCCAAAAAATAATAAATAATATCACAAAATATTCCAAATATAATTGTGAATATATATTGGATCAAATTCGAAATATTCGAATATCACATCCTTACCAAAAAAAATCGGAATATAAATACACATAAATTCCGGAAATTAATAAAAAAAACTAATTCCGAAATTAATAAAAATTAATTCCGAAAAATCCCAAAATAATCAAATTACTGATTATATATTAAATCAGGTAACCCGAATATAATAAAGAACTGTAGGCTCTGATACCACTGTTGGGTTTCGAGCAGAAAAACGCAGCGGAATAAACAAAAAAATACTGCCCAAAAGTAAACAATCGGATCTGAGGTTCTTACTATAAACGAAATTACAAGATATAAGAGGGACTTACATAGCAATCTTAATCAAGGATGTCAGACAGTCCGAGAAAACGATCCCGAGCTCTACCGGTATCCACACGCACGTGATTGGATCGGCCGCAGGGAACGTGCTAGCTTTCTCTTCTTTCTTCCTCTCTACTCTAGGTTTTAGAAGTGAATTTTAACTCTTAAAATTCGTGGGTCTATATAGCCCTATTTATAAGAGGAGGAAAGAAGGAGTTTTATAGCTAATAAAACCCTCCAAGAGGCCCTAGCCCAATACCATTCGAAACCCTATTTCGAATTGGGCTAATCAGGCTATTTTAATGTTATTAACGAACATTAATGATCCAAATCACTTAGGTGTGTGACCCTGTAGGTTTATATATTATTGGCAGTGGGCTAAAAAATTAATTCAAGCCCCACAAATCATAAGCGGCCTCTAGCAAGGCATTATGACTATCCAAAATATATAAATGTCAATTAAATCTGACATAACCTTTTAATGATTAATTTGTGCTAATAATTCTCTTTTGTCAAACGATATCTTAATTGGACAAGGTTAGGTCATGTCATCCTTGTTATTCTCAATTAATATTTCTTGATTACCAAGTAAGATTAATTTTGAACAAATGACACCTCATTTGAGCATGACCATGCTAATTAATCTTACTTGTCAAGGGGCCCAATAGATATCTTTCTCTCGCTATACGAGAGTGACAAAAACTATCTTGATAATTCACATACCACTACATGGTTCATAATATGTACAATCACCACCTTTATAATTACCCATTTAAAAATAATATTTAATGGTGTTAATACATATTAATTCGCATGCAAGTAACCATGATTATCTCAAGTATAAGAATATAGCACCTCATCATTATTGAGGACAACACTGATGACATATAATCTAGCAGTGTCCTCAAGTTGGGTCTGTCCAATGAACTTGTTCACTAGCAAGCATCTATGTTATTAACTTGATATCTCTATACCCATGACTAGTGGAATATAGCCATCAGTTAATCCACATAATGGTCTATTAATTATTAATGTCCCAGATTAATAATATTAGACCATGGACAATTAGAATATTATGCTTATTTTAAAGTGTAGCATTCCAAATTTAAGTCACGTACTTAATTAGCTACTAAACATAATATTCAGGGACTAAATATTAATAAAGAAAACTCACAATAATAATTAACATAAAATGAGTTTGTGACTTTATTAATTAATGAGCATTAAATATTCATTGATAAATCATAAAGTATGATTGTCCTAGGGCATACTTCCAACAGACACTTCCAAATATTTTAATGACATAAATTGACATTTTTTAGAAAAAACCAATTATTATGACATTCTCATATTCAAAAAGTGTCATTTTCTGGAATCATTAGTTAGGTCATTTTGAGATTCAAACTAATCAAAATTGATAACAAGAAATTCAAGTTCAGATATATCTTCATTTGAAACTTTCAAAATTCAAAATTTTATTTAAAAATTTGATTGATGAAGATTAAGAGGAAGAGGAAGAGAAAGAAGAAGAGGAGGAAGAAGAAAAAAGAAGGAGAAAACTTTACATGGACACATGTCAATCGGAATATATGTTGCGAACATGGCTAACCAAGATGCTCTGATTTCAAAATCTCCTTTTTCTCATGGTCTACCGCAGGTCCCTTACAATCAAGCTTCCACTCAGTGCAGATTTCGCCCTAAATTTTAATGGATGCCTTCCTTTGTAGCAATAGTGTCTAGCTTGTCCTTTCCGGAGAGCTCTGGAGCCATCGATGCGGAAGAGGAGCGGAAGAGGAGTCCCATGGATTTAAGGATTTAATATATCAGGTTAGGAACAAGATCTTAAAAAAGAGGCTTCATGTCCGCATAGAACATGTTCAAGCATCCAGGTGTACCGAGGAGTTTGAGCGGAGGGTGAAAGAAAATGATCGGCTCAAGGCTGAAGCAAAGGCTAAAGGTGTGGTTATCAGTACTAAAAGGCAACCCAAAGGTCCCCAACCCGGATAAATGGTAGAAGGTGCTACCTTGGAGACTGTGACACCCATTCCTTATGATGTTGTCAATGATCTAAAGGGCGTTACTAAGTTCTCGTATTATTTCTTGGCAAGGTGTTGTTTCCATTTCACTTCTTAAATAGCTTACTCATGAGAGATTATGTTATTTTTTTCTTGTCACTTGCTTATCATTTTGAATTTTTGTGACCCCAATGTAATGTGTGGGAGAACTTTTTTGGCAAGAGTTTTCTTCTATGGTTTATTCACGAACTTGATAATATTAAAAAAAAGGATTTAATATATCAGGGATAGAATGATACGGAGTAATAGGGAGTCCTATTTAGGGAATATAAAACATTAAGTCCTATTATGGAGTTTTGAGTATGTTTTAATCCTATTAAGGGCAATTTGTTAAAGAAAAATAGAAAATTCACTTTTTTCAGGCTCAAAAAAGAAGTATAGTATGTAAACGGGGCTAAACAACATAATAGTCTTATTTATGGTAATTTCCAAATATTTTAGGATATTTTGAAATGAAATATCCAAATTCCAAATACTTCGACACTTCGTATGCCTCATATGAATAATAATTAAATTAAAGCAAGTATAATACGTGCATGCAAAACATCAAGTATATTATACGGAGTAATAATCACCAACTCTTTTGGCCGTGTTTCGTAATAATTTAATTTTGTCCATATTTTATGAGATGCATGGCTTAAATTAAACGTAACGTGCATTATTGAACATCAGCTAGCTAGTATATATACGTGGGCGTATGCATGTTTCTTATGGCAGCAGATATCCTCTAACTACTCTCTGGACCCGCAGGCTTATAAATTATTCAAATATGGTGCTCAATAATTGGTTTGGTACACAGGGATTAATTTGTATGTTCCCCCTATACATAACATTGTTCTCAGTCCATTTTAATTTCTTGCAAAATACTACGTATATATATATATATATATATATATAGTGCTCATAATAATTGTGAATAAGCAGATGCTAGCTGTGGGTGCGTGGCGGACTCACTAAGGGTCCCACGGGGTCCCGGGATCTCATGGACCTACAAAAAATACCTATATATATTTGTATATATTTTACATAAAATTAAGTAATCAGTGTATTTATACAATTGAAACTAGTTTAAAACATAAAGATGGAGCTAGAGCAACGGTTGGACGCCAAATCTTGAGGCTCTATATGTGTGGGAGGTTGAGCGATCGATTCCTTTGGGAGTCCACTTTTTTGAAAATAAAATTATGGAACAACTTGGAGCACATATTGTCATGCACCTCTATAACCCAACTTTTAATCCAAATCTAATTTTCTCAACCTATACCCAATTTTTTTCATAACAAATACTATTATAAAGCCATTATGTATCCCCAAATTTGAGCTTATCTGTTTTATAAACTAATTTCATCATGAAACACATAATTTTTGAATTCACGCACTGAATTTGTAATAATTAAAATAAGCAAGTTAAAATCATTTTTTCGGCGAGATGACTGAAGTTACCGTAAGAGCATCATCTTAGCCACTTTTTCATATGACTTTTTTTCATATCTTATAACATACTATCCTCCGTATCACATTATTTACAACATTGGAATACATTATTCATATACTTTACTTTGACTACATTTTATTTATTAATGTATGTGAATTATTTTTGAAAAATATTGTTAAATCCGTCTCATTATTAAGTCTTATAATCTGATTTTTATTTTATTTTTACTAATACAGAATTAAATATAATGACGGTCAAAGTTGTGCGCTGCCAAACGTGAAATGTTGACTGTTGCAACTAAAAAGAGACGGAGGAATTATAATTTAAATATCATTATTTCCTAATATAGCAGTTTCAGTCGTTTGAGCCATTATCGCATAGTTTGGCTTGATGTGATTTGATCTAAGACTAAAATCAGCCCAACAACAAAGTCCTTAAAGTTACACAAATAAATTGGTAATTGTATTAAATTAAAATAGAAACAAAGCTAACAAATATATTTTAAATAAAAATCCAAATAAAATAATGCCAAGTAATTAGGACGAAATTTTCAAATGTAGGCTTTTTAAATTTGATTTCTCATATGCATGCCCATTATTTTTAGTTGATAGTGGACATTAATTTTATAAAGTTTTAGTGCCCGTTTAGTGACTCTGTTTTCGGCTTATGAGGCTTATCAACCAACTTTTTAACCAAACATGTAACTTTTGATTTTACACGCTGAATTATGTAATAATAAGAAAAATAAGGTTGAAGTTACTTTTCAGGTTGTATTGACTGCAGTTGTTGTAGATGACCATTTTATCTATTTTTCATATCATTTCTTCTTTATTTTATTAATATAATATATTTTAAATATAATTTTTCATAATCAGCAGAAACAGTCAATACAACCACTTCAGTCAGAACTTCATAAATTTCAGCAGAATCAGCCGATTCAGCCGATTTCAGTGTTACCACACGGGCTCTAGTTGATAGTAGACATTTCTTTAAAATTGTTGTATATGTTATGTTAACTATGATATGTTATGTTATTTTACTATTTTACTTCTTCTTTTTATTAATTTTTTATTAATTAGTTACATTACAGTAGGGACCCCGTGATTCTGAGTTTCTAGGTCCGCCACTGGGTGCATGGTGGTAAGTTGAAATACTATTTATATTAATGAATCTAAATGGAATTAAAATTTGATAAAATTTCACTAATAATACTTTGACTAAATTGTCTAAATAGGATTAAAAAAGGGCCAAAAATCACAAATAGGAGTTCTAGCTAGTTTTAAAATTACCAAAATAAGAATAGGATCTTTTTGTTATTGGACAAATCTCACTGCCACCTAGGGGTGAGCAAAAATACCGAAGAAAAAATACCGGAATATTGGTATACCGTCATTTTCGGTACGGTATGATTTATTTCGGTACGGTAATGGTAAATGTTTTCAAATACCGCGGTATATCGGTATAATACCGTACCGGCTTCATACTCAACAATTACTTTAAATTCTAAAATATTGTAAAAGTTCATTACAATTTTGAAGCCCAAAATTAATATTTAGATTGGTTGCACATACTAAAATACAAAAAGAAAGGCCCAATTCCCCAATCCCGTTATAAGCTCTTAGCCTTTTAGCTTAGGCTTCTACTACCTAACTTTCAAACAAATAAGCATAATGAGCAATGAGTAATGTATTAATGTCCATAAACTAGTCCATCTTATTGCATGAGCTTGTGAGTCGCGATAGCTGAGTCGTTGAGTAGCTGATGAGTGAAGATGGATATACTTATCACTTATGTAACAAATGTACCTACATAGGGATCTACTTAGTCGAGACACACAATTTTGTCTGAAAGTCTATTTCAAATATTTTTTAAAATTAAAAAATGACTAAATACACAATATCATATTAGGGATAGATGGTTTTGTATCCATGTTTGAATAAATTTATTTATTGTTATATTCATTTAATTATATTTATATTATTCAAGTTATTTTATGAGAATGTATTATTTTTTAATATGTGACATGTTGAACTGCTTAAATATAATAATAATAATTATTCTTAGATTATTAATTATATTTTATAACATTTTAATAATGGATTAAATATGTCGCTAGTAACACCGATTTAGTATATTTTGTTAGTGTATGATAATTTGTTGTATTGTGAGACATGCACAGTAATTTACCAATACCGTACCGATATCGAACCTAAACTTCGGTATACCGAAATACGGTATACCGAAACTTTGGTAAGGTAACGGTATATAAATTTTGTATACCGAAAGTTTTGATATGATAAAGGTATGAGAGAAAATATTAATTATACCGTACCGAACCACCCCTACTGCCACCCCATGCAGAGCCGGTCCTGACATTTTATGAGCCCGAGGCAATTGAAAAAAGGCCCTTAAAAGGTTATATAAATATATTGCAAAAACTTAAATCTATATATGCAAATTTAAACATATGAAGTATTGTAAGTCTTTCATCAAAGTCTTGAAATATATGAACTAAAAGAATGAAAATTATATTAAAAATATTTTTTTTGTAGAATTACCTGTTAAACTGAAATTTCAAATTTGGAAGATATTTTTGAAGAAATTAGGAGAGTGTTAATTGCTGATTGAACCGAATTAAAGTCCAAAAATGAAACCTTGAAATTAGGCCAGCCTAACGGAAACCGCTGTTAGGCCGAGGCAATTTGGGGTCCTTCCTGATTAAAGTTTTTGATGAATTTTTTTAAGCATGTTCTACATCAAGTGTATATATAATATCTCCACAAAATTTCATATTTAAATTCAATCGGAAGTAAGTTAAATAAATTATTGAAACATATTGCGCATTATTTATATACATAAAACGCAGTATGTTTCAATAATTTATTTAACTGATTTCCCGGTTTAATTTTAAGCTAAACTTTTGTGGGTATAATCTACATTTGATGAAGAATATTCTCAAAAGGTTTCAACAAAAAAATGCTTCCAGAAAGGGCCTCAAATGGCCTCGACCTTATATGAATTGTCCTCTCTCTCTCTCTCTCTCTCTCTCTGTGTGTGTGTGTGTGTGTGTGTGTGTGTGTGTGTGTGTTTCTATTATGGCCCCCTATAAATGTTGGGCCTGGGGAACAAGCCCAGCGTGCCCTTACCCAGGGCTGGGCCTGACCACTTGCCTCCGCCAAACTCCGTCTGCCGCTGGCTGCCCATATTCTGACAGCCGCCGACTGCCCATATTCCGACCTCCGCTGGAGCTTCGACAGGGAAACAAATCCAGATGCCCCTAGACACAATGGTGCCACCGGCGGAGCTCCGCTCCATCTCCACCGATCACTTCTGCCAATCATCGCCACCACGAGTGGACTGCTCCGCCACCAACAGACTATCCTGATTGTTCAATTCCAAGGAGTTAGGGGGTCAATTAACTAATTAGATTAGAGGTGATAAGGGTAGAAAATTAATGAGTCCTATTTGTGAAATATTTAAGTTTTTGTCCTATTTGTGCAATTATGTTTTAGGCTTATTTAGGCTAATAATAATTACTATAAGACTTTATATTTAGAATTCCTTAAATATGACTTTGGAAC